GTTATAGGATAGCAGTTTGCAAACTTTAAGTACTCTAACCAGCAAGGAAAGAGAAAGGAACATACAAGCCCATTAACTAGGTTCTGATCCTTGGTCTTGATAAAGAGAATAGTAAGTACAGGTTGGGCATCCCTTATCTGGAATGCTAATATTTGAAATACTCCAGGACCAGAAATAATCCATGTGAGTGACTGCAATAGTGACGCCTTTGCTTTCCGATTATTCAATGAACACACATTTCGTTTCATGCACAAAAAGTATTTTCAAAATCACATGAAATCACCTTCAGGCTATGTACATAAGGTATATTTGAAACATAAATGAATTTTAATTTTAGGCTTTAGTCTGATCTCCAAGATATCTCATTATGTGCATATATACAAATACCGGTATTTCATAATCCAAAAAATCTATAATCCAAACCACTTCTTGTTCCAAGCATTTTAGATACGGGATACTCAACCTTTATTGCTTTTCACTGAGTTGGCACAGTAAATGCTGGAAGAGTCTCCCAGAGCCTTTTCTGGCTGAAAAGATAGGCTTTAAAAATCCTTCAGTTAAACAAACAGATAGTATGGAATGTTGCATCTGTGTGAGTTCACAAAATTTAATATCCAGATATTTAGTGCTATATTAGATGTAGCCAACAACTTGGGCAAACCACGTGGTTTTTGATGCTCTCTTATCTCCTTTAAATAGTGGTCCCTCATGCATATTGTGCTTTTAAGAGCCTTTGGAGATTCCAAAAACATCTGATTTCATGACAGTACAGTGTGTGTGCGCGCCTCTTGGAGAGACTCAAACTCAACATGCTCTTGGGCATTCAGAACTATATTTAACAAGTTCTGACCTAATTTTATATTTTTAAACTTCAATAATAAGGACAGTACATAAGAAAGGAAGAAGGAGATCAAAGGAAACCAAATGAACATAGAATTCTCCAGTTGCTAGATAATTCAATATTCTGATAAACTGCCACATAGATGAACTCTAGAACAAAAGAGCAACTTGATGGCAAAAAATGAGCCTAACTGAAGAAATTCTGATGACTCAATTGTAAGATCTTCATAAAAGGCATATAACATGGTATACATGGTCTGTTAACTCCAGCCAGCCAGCCAGCCAGCTAGCTATCCATCCATCCATCCATCTGGCTTGGGTACACTTAAGGAATTCAACAACAACAAATCTGCTCCTGTTTTGTAGCAGATATCCTATGAAGCAGGTGAGGTGGTAGTCTTCTGTGATATAAGTTTTTTTCTCCTCAGGAGAACATAATGATTTACAGTGTCATAAGCTGTTGACAGGTCTATGAAGACAGCTCCTGTAATCTTCTATGTACTGAATTTTGTTGAATTCCAGGGCCAGAGAAGCAGATGCCAAAAACAAAGAATGGCCTGCTTCAGGGGAGTGTGCTTGCTCCATCAATGTTTAACATTTACACAAATGATCAGCCACTGCCAGAAGGGGCAGAGAGTTTCATCTGTGTTGACAATCATGCCATCAACACCCAAGCAGGGAGTTTTGAAATGGTTGAACAGAAGCTCTTTGAAGCCTTTTCTCTGCCTATTACAGGGAAAACCAGCTGATTCCTAATCCATCTAAAACACAGGTGTGTGATTTTCATCTTAAGAACAGACAAGCATCTCGAGCTCTGACGTTTACCTGAAAAGGAATCCCACTGGAGCATTGCAGCACACTCAAATACCTGGGAGTTACCTTGGACCATGCTCTGACCTACATGAAGCACTGCTTGAATATTAAGCAAAAAGTGAGTGCTATAAACAATATCATGTGAAATCTGAATGACATAACCTGGAGATCACAACCAGATACAGTGAAGACATCTTTGCTACTCGGCTGCTGAGTATGCATGCCCAGTGTGGAACACATCTCACCATGCTAAAACAGTATGCAGTATGGCTCTTAATGAGACATATCTACGTCCTACATTACTGGAGAAAATATACTGTTTAGCCAGTTTTGCACCACCTGACATCCGCCAGGAAGTAGCAGCCAATAATGAAAGGACCAAGGCAGTGACATCTTTAGGCCATCCCCTGTTTGGATATCAGCCAGCACACCTACGCCTTAAATCAAAAACCACTTTTCTAAGATCTACAGAGACACTTGCAGGAACACCTCAGCAAGAGCGACCCCAAATTGGCAGGCTAAAACCCAGAACCTCAAGTTATGGCTAATATCGAATAAGAGACTCCCTCCTGGACACATAGAAGACAGGGCGACTTGGAAGACGCTGAACAGATTGCAATCTGGCACCTTAAGAAATGAGGCCGCAAAGTGGAGTCCACGACATGCGAGCGTGGAGAAGAGCAAACCACAGACCACCTATTATAATGCAGACTGAGCCCTGCCATATGCACAATGGAGGACCTTCTCACAGTGACACCAGAGGCGCTCCAAATGGCCAGCTGCTGATCAAAGGACATTTAGTATAATGCCAGGTTTTAACTTTGTGTGTATGTGTGTTTTTAAGTACATTACTACTGCACCCTCAGTTTGTTTCTGATACAATAAATAAATAATACACTTAAAGAAGGGGAAATTCACTCCTGAAAGAATTATCTGAAAAAAGCGTCTCCACCAATCGTTATACCAATCCTTGTTTCCACAGCAAGCCAAAATCCAATTATTACAGGGAAAGAAAGTGAGGTAAAATCCTCTGAACATGGGCACAGGCAGCAAAGCAAACACCACAGAGGTGTAACCCTTCCCTAGGCTATTCAAAACTAAAAGAAATTGGTTGGATTTACACTTGAAAATGTACCTTTTCTGACTTACAAACAAATTCAACTTAAGAACAAACCTACAGAATCTATTTTGTTCGTAACTTGGGGACTCCCTGAATATACAGTAGCACAGGCAGTGTATGTATGCAATTATTTGTAAGATTTAGCCTTGACAAGAATATTTGGCCAAAGCTACATAGGATCACCCAATGCAGATGAAATGACAAATTGCTTCTATCTGCTGTGATACACAACGAGAAAGATAACAAAAAAACATTTTATCTTCTGACTTGCAGGCACAGCAAAAAAAAATAATCACGATACTGGAACATTTAGAAGACATGTAAAGCAAAGTATTCTCTATAAGATGATACAGCCTGCCAAGTTTAATATTACCAAGAAGAAAAAAGAAAAAAAATTGTTTACCCAAGTCACTGAGACGAAGAATTTTCTGACTCCTGACAAACTAATCTAAACAGACGTGAAGTCAGACCACCCACTTCTTTTTTTAAGCAGACATATTTAAAGAGCTAGCATGACAATTCAGCGTGGGATGCTGCTAACAAATGACATTTCAACAAGGATTTTACATTAATACTTAAATTTGATTACCTGATCTACCATAGGACTCAGCCAAGTGTTTAATTCATAATGACAAACACTGATTTGATATTTTTATTTATAATTCTCAAGCTTCCAAGGAAACCAATGACCGGTGAGATGATGCCACCTCTAAGTGCACTATACATATTCTACAGTCTTGTTCTGAATTCCCATGCCTCAAGTCACGAGGAAAGGCATAGTTTCAATCTGGAAACAGGCAAGCAAATATTAAAACTTGCCATGAGACAGAATTAGTGCTGTGCCAACCACCAGATTATCACTCAAATGTACCATTCGCCCCAAACAGAAAAGCTCTGTAGATAATTATGGGAAAAACTCAATATTTTAAAAAACCATTCTGCTTACAAGAAGAGATGACACTGAGGAATTTCTGAAAAGTAGTTCTAGCCTAGCACAAGGAAGCTAGGAGTTTTTGAAGAAATCAAAGAAGTTGTGAACCAGTCAGAGCTTTGCAAAGTTCAGAAGTTCAGGTACATGAAAAGACATTTCAATATGCATTTTTTTTTTGCAAGGAACTAAATAACGAAGGAGAGCAATCCATGTCTTTTATGAAAAAAAACACATTTCTACCAGTCCAATACTTTTCTATTATACTGTACAGACAATCCCCAGGTTACAAACAAGATAGGTTCTGTAGGTTTGTTCTTAAATTGAATGTCTACATAAGTCAGAACAGGTACATTTTTTAAGTGTAACTCCAGCCAAATTTTGTTTTAGTTTTGGATAGTCTAGGAAAGGGTTACACCCCTGTGATGTTTGTTTTGCTACCTGTGCTCCTGTTCAATATATTCAACCTCATTTTCTGCCCCTGTAGTAATTGGACTTTGGCTTGTGGAAACAAGGATTGGTATAAAGATTGGTGGAGACAACTTTTTTTCTTGATAACATTTTCAGGAGTGAATTTTCCTTCCTAGAGGTAGATTTCCTCTCATTTCCTATTGTCTCTCCCCTGTTTGTAACTAGGAGCTGTATGTAAGTTGGGTGCTTGTTTTCACAAAATACTGGGGCCTGCCTGTCTTTTGCAAAAACTGTGTATTACACACCACAATGGTGTTGGTCAGAGAGTGTTATGCCTCCTCCAGGTTAGCATACATTTTGAACAATTATTTTATCAAAAATTCAAAATCCATATGGGGAAAACAAGGCAGTTTAATAAGCGAGGTTAGGTCCATTCCAACCATTGTCTGCTTTCAGTATTTCAGTAGCAAGGTGAAGCAGATGAAGCATTAGCAACTACAGAAGTGGAAGAAGAGGAAAGAGGAAGAAGAGCAGCAGCTGCTACTATATACTAACCAGTTGTTGGGGTTTTGTTTTCTTTTTGTGCTAAAGTAGTTTATGTACAAACCTTGCACTTGGCAAATCAAATTCATTAGCATGTAGGAGCAGCCCTTCTTTCCTGTCACAGCTCTCTCAATCTTGGTCAAGAGCTATGACTTTAAGGCACTACTGATTGAGATGGGTTTCACTTGCACTGGGTGAGTTGATGCAACGCCCTCTCGTTCAATGTAACCTTCTTCTGACGGCTCTTGCAAAGCTCAAAACACTAATAATGTATGCAAATGTAGCCAGGATAATTAAGTTAAATCAAACGGTTGATAAATATTTACACAAGCAAAACAACAATACCTATTATAACGTGCATGCCGAGTCTTGCCAAATGTTTCACAGTATGGTAACCAATTCCTTTAGTGCCTCCAGTTACTATGGCAACATTCCCATTCTGAAGAGGAAAAACTGAAAAGAGAAAAATAATTCAGGTTAAGGCCTATTTTTCCACAAGAGTCAAAATGCACATTCGCCAATAAAACAAACATAATAATAATGACAGCGATTTTGAATTTCACATTTCTAGTGGTCACAACAGAAACGGAAAATCAGTGTAGCCAGTTGCCACATATTGTTGTGGTTCAGCAGCAACAGCATGATGGGACTGAGAGTGCAGATGAGCATGATGGAAATGAGAGTACAGATGCAGGTGTGGGCTTTCAGTTTTCTCAGTCAAAATCTATAGCTAGAGACAAGCCGCTTTTCTCACAGGACCGGAATGTAGCTGATAAGGCAGTTGGTGGGGTTCAAGGTCAGGCTGCCCAGCAGGTGTTGAGACGGAGTTTACGAATTGCAGCCAAGTGTTGAGCTCATCCGTTGGTGGGAAAACTGCTTGTTAGCTGCCTGTTTGATGTTCAATGTTTTGATGTTTTACCTATAAGTAAACTGCCTTGGAGCTGGTTCTGTGTCAGTTCCTACGTTGCTAAATGGCTTGCTGGCCTTCGGCTCTAGGGCTTGGGGAAAAGCCTGCTTCACGCTATTTCCTGGACTTTTACTCTGCTTCTATGCTTCAAGTCTCCTGCTTTGACTCAAAAGGATTATATTGGATTTTTACCCTATATTACTGATCTTCTCATTGCTGATGAACTGCTTTGTTTGAAAACCTCACAACAAACTTTCTACCTCACAATTTTGGCTGGTTTGTCAGAGATAGCAAGGTGAATCTTAGCCTGAGATACAACACATATACTACTATATTTATCATACATTTTAAATGGAATTCCAGTGATATTTTCAGAGTATCTAAGAAATCATGATTTTCTTCTTTTCTACCCTAACAAAAAGAATCCATCTACAAAGTTGCCATGGTTGATTTCCTGATATATCAAAGAGAATTACTTCCACCTGTACTTATCCAAACATACATTTTCCCTTTTCTGTATTAAAATCAGGCACGGAGTCAGACTGAAAAGCATCCACATAATTTTCCCACCTAGAAGCTCCAATATGCAAAGGCCAGAAATCTGGGGGAAACCAAGATTTAAGGCAAATACTAGCTGGTTCAAAGGTATGTACTGAGAATAATAATTTCAAAAAAGATTTTTCTCCTATTTGTTGCTTTGATTTCCTTGCATAAAAGACAGGATAAAAGTATTATAAACTGAAACAAATATATATAGAGAGAAAAGGAAATAAAACCTCTCTTAAAAATTAAAACATTTAAACTAATGTATAGTAAGAATTAAACAGAATTCAAGTGATGGTGAAGACCTGCAAAACCCCTATACAGCTTGGGTTCATATTTTATTTGAGCTAGCCCAGTTTTAAGATTAGCCCTATCAAGGCCACAGGCATAGCTGGTGATGATACAGGAAAGAGCCTTCTCAGTACAGTTGACCCTCTGTATCCACGGATTCTGAATCAACAGATTGAGAATACTTTTTAAAATCCCCAAAGCAAAACTGGATTTTGGTATTCTATACATGAGGCACCATTTTACAACTCTAGTGTACATAATGGAAATGGTGCATTCATGGATTCTGGTCTCCCCAGGAGGTCCTGGAACCAAACTCCAGTGGATAACAAGGATCCATCATAGTTGTTCCCAAATTATGGAAATACGCACAAAGACATACACACGTGGTGGCGAGGGGGCACTTAGCAGGTTTCTTTCCTGTTCTCTTTCTTCTAGCAGACAAAGATTTTTTTATAATTAGACAAGCCTTTGGCTGCTTAAAAGTTGTATGGTTCAGTACTCGATCAATCTTATGATACTTTAAAGTATTTTAATTAGTTTTTATATGATTACTTATTTATTGTTTTTAAAACCATTTCCCATTAGATACCTTAGGTCCATGCAGAAGGTTTAAAAACATATCATATAAACTGAATAAATAAAGCACTTTTGAAATGTTTAGTGATTGAGTGACCTTTAAGGTTATATTCCCACTTAGATACCATTCACATTTTGACATACATAGGGCTCTACAGGCCAATGGATACTCCACCTCAGACATCAGAAGAGCTGCAAGACCAAGAACAAGCCACGAGAATAAAGTTGAAGATCCACCCCGGGGAAAAGTGTTCTTGCCATACATCAAGGGAACCACTGACCGCATAGGGAAGCTGATGAGGAAACACAACATACAAACTATCTACAGACCCACCAAGAAAATTCAACAAATGCTACGTTCAGCAAAGGACAAGAGGGATCCTCTCACCTCTGCAGGAGTCTACCGTGTACCATGCAGCTGTGGACAAGTCTACATAGGGACCACCAAACGCAGCGCCCAAACAAGAATCAAGGAACATGAAAGGCACTGCAGACTACTTCAGCCAGAGAAATCAGCCATAGCAGAGCACCTGATGAACCAACCTGGACACAGCATTTTATTTGAGAACACAAAAATGCTGGACCACTCTCACAACCACCATGTCAGACTACACAGAGAAGCCATTGAAATCCACAAACATGTGGACAATTTCAACAGAAAGGAGGAAACCATGAAAATGAACAAGATCTGGCTACCAGTATTAAAAAATTCTAAAATTGCAACAGCAAAAACAGCAGAGAGGAAACAGGCAGGGACATCTAATTACCTTTCAAGAAGAGTTTGCTCCAGGCACAGTCAGTCCATTGTATGCTAATCAAGGTGGTCAGTTGAAATATTCACACCTAGCCCAACTGACAAAAGTCCTTTGTCTCACCCTGGTCATTCCACAGATATATAAACCCTTTTCCCCAGTTCCAACAGACCTCACCTCTGAGGATGCTTGCCATAGATGCAGGCGAAAGGTCAGGATAAATGCCTCTAGAACATGGCCATATAGCCCGAAAAAACCCACAAGAACTTATACATAGGAATGTTTGCCTTTTTTGGTACATTTCTCTCCAAATCCACTTCTCATTAAAATGCCTAAGTAATTGACCATAACTCTTGTTTACTTAAATATTTTCTTTTTATAAGGAATTTAACTGCCCTTTTATCAGCACAAATCTTAAATCCTGTTACTGGTCTCCCAACCTAGGGCTTCATACCACTTCATTTTAGCTCATACCGTAATTTAGTGAATTGAGGGGAAAATGTGAATGTTTCTGGAGAAAAATGTGGATATAATAGCAAAGGTCTAAACCAAACAGATATTTAGAAAGATTTCTGTGCCATTTTTAAACTCAAGAATCTCTTTTGGTGGCTTAATTGGTTACAAGAAAAATATTGCGATTATGTCATTCCCATGGGCTTCCCAAAAATAAATGGTCCTTACATCATAAACTAAGAACTAGGTTCATATTATAAAGCAACAGCATCTTATCAACCTGATATAGCAAGATAATCTGGAAGACATGGAGCAATCAGCCTATCACATTTTATTCATCTTTGGAAATCAAATGTTTCTGATTTTACAAATATACTTAATGTTAGCCACCCCCTGCCATGCGTTGCTGTGGCCCAGTCTGTGCATATGTGTTTTGTGTGTGTATATGTATGTATATATTTCTGTAAATGTGTATATGTGTTTTTGCTTGTGTGTGTGTGGTTTTGCGCATGCATTATAATGTAATTTTGGGGTTTTTTAGGGTTTTTAAGTTTGTTCCGCTGTGTATTTCAGTGTTTTTATGAGTGATGGTCACTCGTTGGCCTGAGAGGTGTATTGTGTCAATCCGCCCAGTGGTTTTTGAGTTATACTAATCCCACAAAAGAACATTACATTTTTATTTATATAGATTATATTTCCAATTATTTGCATGAGCCAGTAAACAAAAATAATTAGATAAACACAGTTCACATTTTAATACACCAGAAATTCCAAACAACACATTAATTGCAAATTGTACGAATGCTTGCAAGAAAAAAAGTCTAATCTCACTAAACAAGCAGGTGTACACAACACAAAGAAAATACAGTCTTTGAAGAGAAGGATGAAACAAGTCATGGGGCAACAGCTGGGAGAGGCCATTGTAACTCAGATGACAGCAGCCACTTCTACCCTGAAACAATGGGTGAAATCAGTTGCACTGGATAATACCACAAAGGATCAGAGGAACAAGGAGGCACTCGACATTTTTAACATATGGGTGACAGAGAACAAGCACAACAGAAAAGAGATTCTTCCAATGCTTAGGGAAATCTGTATTGCTCCAACATTGATGAACAAACTCAAACATTGTTGGCTTTCTGCAATTCAAGAGTAAATATTCCACGAAGTTAAATTCTAAACCTGGTTTTACCTTCTCAGTTCTTCCCAAAAGACCTGAAGGGATTTTTGAATAAATGCACCAGAATTGAGACATTGTTCAAAACTCAAGGTTAACAATGTTCTTGATCGTCAACATACACCATGTAGGGTTTGAAGGAAAGAAAGAGTTGTTTCTCTTCAGGGTTTATAGCCATTTCCTAATTTTTGAATTTCATAAAAGGTTTTGTTTGTTTGTTTTCAATTGGCAAAAACAGCAAGAGTTTTTTAGGCTACAGAAATTGCACATATTTTTCAATTAGTTTGCAAAAAAATGAAATGTGTCGGCTTTTCAAATGAAATGTTCTGCTTTATTTGTATCACCCTCAAATACAGAATTCCTGTGTAGTAAAAAAATACCCCAAAAGTCAGTGCATTTTTTGTGATGTTGTGGATTTGAAAGCACAGCAATGAAAAAGTACAGCACCCACTTACTGAACATGTCTGTATTTGTGCAACCATTCAACTACCCAAATCTCACCTGTATAAAAATACTTTTTTCTGATAGGTGGAATTGTTATGTCTCTTGCTATATATGAAAGAGCTGTACTAGTGTCATGTGTTGCCTGCTGGTTCATGCTTATGAAATCAGTGTAATATTTATTTTACAATACTCTTCTGATCTAGCTTTATAAATAAAATCTTGTTGCATGCCTTCAAATGATTTCCAACTTAGGGCAACCCTAATGGGGGATTCTGGGATTTGTTGAGAGATGGTTTGCCTCTCCATTCCT